GAGCTCAGTTAGATTCTTGGATCTATCTTTTTCTGTAATGGACTGTAAGACCTTACGGCTGTTACTGACCCATTGTGTTAGATGGAAGCCTCCCTTTTGACATAGCGTGGTCAGGTCTTTGACCGCCTGGATTGCTTCATACTCTGTAGATAAGCTTCGTAAGCAATCATCCATGTAGAAGTTATTATACACAGTGTCAATTACTTCTTCTTTAAAGCAGTGTTGATTGTCTTTTGCAGTTCTTCTCAGAGCGAAACACGCACAACTTGGGGATGAAACTGCTCCAAAAATATGAACAGTCATTCGGAAGACAGCAACATCCTGTGTAACATCTCCACCTGGCCACCACAAGAAGCGAAGAAAGTCTTTGCCGCCTTCTGCCACTTTGACCTGGTAAAACATTGCTCTAATGTCAGTCATGAAAGCAACAAGTTCTTGTCTGAACCTCAGAAGAACTCCAATTAAAGAGCTTGTGAGGTTTGGGCCTTGCAGTAGTTGATCGTTTAAAGATGTGCCTTGGTATTTTGCTCCACAGTCAAATACCACACGTAACTTGCCTTTACGAGGGTGGTACACACCATGATGTGGAATGTACCAAACTTTACCGTCAGATCTATCCAATTGATGCTCTGGCACTTTCTCAGCATAGCCTTGGATAACCATATCGTTGACAAAGTCTGTATATTCTTGTTGAAACTTAACATTCTTTTCAAACTTTCTTTTTATCCCCACAAGACGCTGTTTGGCAATGTTAAGATTGTTAGACATTATAACATCTTTGTTTTTGAAAGGCAGTTTCAAACTATAATGTCCATCCTTGAAGCTCACAGATTTCTCCATGATTTCCATGAACTTTACCTCCTCTCTGGACATTTCTTCTTTGTCCTCTGACACTTTTTCATTGAAATCATGCTGGTATTGCTTTTCCAATAGCAACTCCAATGTTTCAACAGAGATCCTGTTTACTCTAGCAGTATGTTGTTCATTTTGATAACTGCCTAGAGAACCATTGACGACCCACCCCAATAGGGTACGTATGGCATAGGGACCATCTCCCTGACTATTTACTACTTCCCACGGTTCGAGTAATTTGGAGGCGTTGGTACCTATCAATAACTCCACTTCAGCCTGAATGTGCGGAATTTGAATACCATCAAGATATGGCCATTTAGTTAGGTCTTCCCGATTTACCATGTTGGCTTGGTTTACGGGCATTTGTTTCTGTGTGTACACTTCTGGCAATTCATAAAATGTATTACCATCAAGACTTGAAATCTCCAAGTTGTTCACCACATAGCTTGAGACTGTTGTTTTGGGACTCATGGTAAGCAAACAAATATTTGTCTTTCGTCCATTCAGGTGCAGCTTCCTCATTAAACTTTCTGAACAAAAGGTAGAGGTACTGCCTGTGTCCAGAAACGCGTAGGTTTGAACAATTTTGTTGCCCCTTGCAGACTTTACTTGGACTGGAAGGATAGGTAAGATACCACTGCTACTCCCGGCCCCAATATGACCACACGTTTGGGCAGATACAAGTGTATTGTTGATAGTTGGTTCTACATTCTGTTCATGGTTTGTGTTGACAGCTTTATCAACTTTGAACTCCTTCAAATGAATGTGAAGAACACTGGGATGTTTCTGGTTGCACACTTTGCAAGTTAAGCGCCTTTTACATTCTTTGCTCATGTGTCCAACATGCAAGCAACCAAAACAGACAGCTTTTTCCTTTATAAAGTTTACCTTTTCCCTATGTTTCTTCTTCTCAAACTCTTTACATTGCTCTAAAGAATGACCTTGTGAACAAAACAAACAAGTGGAGTTACTCTTGAATTGCCTGCTTGGATGTTCAGCATTTACCCTTTGGATTTCACCAACAATGGGTTTGTTAACATTGGTAACATTGGTAGCAAAACTATCCCCTTTTAACTTTGGCTTTGACTGGAATTGTGACTTCCATTTGTAGACATCCTTCGGTTTACCAGTTGTTCTCATCTCTACATGTTGAATAGACCCAAATATTGGATCAGAAATGATTTTAACTTGGTATTCAACGAAGTTGACAACATCACTAAATTGGGCTCTTCTTTTCTGTCTTTCCATGATATCACATGCAGCTGTTCTCCATTTTTCTCTGAGTTTAAATGGAAGCTTTAGAATTACTGCTCTCATGTTTGTTGGCATGTCCAGTTCTTGCATATACTGTAGATCTGCCATAGCATTGCAACACCCACGTAAAAAGAGTGCATAATCTTGAAGAGCTGTGGTATCTTCATACCTGATCATGGGCCATCCAAGCACCTTCTCCATATATGCAGCAGAAACAAAATAATCTTCTCCAAACTGCCGTTTAAGCATAGTTTTAGCTGTATCATAACCTCTTTCCGGTGCCATATTCATACAGCTTCGAACAATTTCTCTTGGGCGCCCTCTTGTGTATCTTTCAAGGAAATACAAGCAATCACCTTTGTTATTCGTTTTTTCCTCCACACAGTGTTTAAAAGCTTTAGTGAACAAACTGAATTGCAATGGATCCCCTTCAAACACTGGAATATCACGTGGTGGTAAATGTTGAGACTTTTGCTGTTGTACTAACAACTCCGTTATTTCTTGATGTTTTTGAAACATACTCTGTGTGAAATCAGACCTTCTATCATCTACTGAAGTGGCTATTCTGGGTCTTGAAGATGCAGGTTGCTGTAAATGAGATGATGTTGGTTGTGAGGTAGCACCTATGCTGCTTTGCAATATAGTCCTTGACTGTCTCTCAACATCTGGTTGAAGAGATGCAGTTGCTTGTTTTGCCTGTTTGTTGACATAGGATTCCATCCCATCTGATGCGATGCTGTTTGCTCGTTGTTCATAAGTCCTGAGCACAGATATCTTTGCATTGGATGCGGCGATTTTTGCATCAATATCTGTTCGTTCCTTACGCTTCTGTAACATTTCCAACTGTTGCTCAATATCATGCTTAGCTTTTAAAGACTCTGCTTGAGCGACAAGAGCGGCTTTTTCTGCTTCAAGTTGAATGCATACCAGTTGCACAGAGGCATTAGATTTGCTGGAGCGTGAACTGTGGCGGTTGCTCTTGTGAGAAGTGCGACCACTAACCCGTGTTTCAACATTTGAAATGCTATCCTTGGGTTCAATTTCGCTTGCAGCATGATCACATTCCTCCTGTAGCTTCTCACACCAATTATATACCACAGTGCTGAATTCCACAACCCATAACATTTTTGCTTTGAACCATGTTTCATGCCGGTCTTTCTCTTCATCAGGCAATAAAGCAATCAAAGATTTGTGTACTTCTTTTGCTTCTTTGCATTGTGTTTCAAACTTTTCAAACATACCTTTGACCTCATTTTCATATTCTCTATTACCCATTAACTCTTGTATTGTCTTTTTTAGTTGGGATGCTTTGTCAAATTTTGACTTTCTTTGTTTCTGTAAAATATCGAGTTTTGCCAATAACCCTTTTGCAGTAAGCTTAACCTCTCGTTTTCGTACAGACAATTCAACATTTTCATCCTCTGCTTTCTGCGTCTGAGCCCCATCTTGCTCAATTTCAGAACCAGGAAACTCACTTTCATCCGCCATTTTTAAACCTTTACTAACTGCATATTTTACATCATAAACATCAACTTAAAGTGTAAACATTAACAAAAACAATTAAGCATTTCACAAACAGTTCCGTTCTTCGTTTCACAAACCCCTCTTTTTTTTTTTTTTTTTTTTTTTTTTTTTTTTACCACCAATGCGCATTGGATTTGTCTTTGTTTGTATGTGTGCACACTGTTTTATATAGCCTATAGTCATTTGACTCAAGTTCAAGTGAAAGCGCTTTCATACCTCAGTTCCACAAACGCTGAAGCCTTTGCTGTTCGTGTGCTCTGTATTCTCTTCGTTTAGCACGTGCGGGCTTGTAGTCCTTCGAAATCCGCGGCGTTCAATCCCACGCAATAATAATAATCCACAAAAAATAATCCAACAAAACTGTCATGAATGAGCATCATCCGACTTCAGATCCGCTGACTTTTCCTGTAGTCGTCCAATTCGATCTGTTCCAGTCGATGTCGATACAAGGCTCATTCAGGCTCCTTCGGTCAAACTTTTTGACTTAATGTAGGGACGCAGATGGTTTCATTAGTCTGTTTCTGACGCGTGCCTTTGTCTTGAATAAAATAAATATTGTCCATACCTTCAGAATAAATTTCGGATAAACCAAATCCATTTATTGTCCATTTGGTATTGCAAACAACAAAAAAGAACGAAAATAAAAACTAAATCAAAATATCTGATTCAAAACATACTGTTAGGCATGAGCACTGTCTTTCACAATCCAACTCTCAACACAGCACGGTCAAAAAGTTTGTTGACCTTCCATCAGCGCACCTGTAACTCATTATCACCTTACTTAAATATACTCAAAATACTCATACGCCCTCTAGTGTCACGAACAAAAAATACAATTCAAAATAATGGCTCCAACAGTAATACTTCTGTAAAATGACCCTGATTGCTATAATTTGCCTCTGACTTTCCTCAGGGGATTGAACAAACAAATCCTCTCAACCAGTTTGTACAAACAATATTCTTCTCAATAGATATTCATCATAGAAACTCATGTTGTTGTTAAAGTGCCATTTAAGCAGTTTGCTGCAGGCAAAGTAATGATAGTATTTTCTTTCTGCTGTGCAGAGTTTTACATTTTGATCTACCATTTGAAAAGTTCAAATTCCAATCCATTTGCTTATTGGTTGGAAATTTCTTACGTATTGATATTCATAATCCCTAGTTTATGCTCACCTGCTGTTTTATCTTTGTGTGTGTGTGTGTGTGTGTGTGTGTGTGTGTGCATGAATACATTTCCATATGTATGGGAGGGCTGACAAATTTCTGCACATAGTCATTTGTTGGAAAGATTATTTGAGTATTTATTTTTATGTTTCTGTTATCTGGTTGCATTTGTCTGTCATTGTTCAAGCTGTATTGTCTTTGTCTAGTTTGCTTGCACAGTTGCCGGAGGAGAATGTTACCTTGCTGTGCCACTTATTTGGAGTGCTACACAGGATACACACTCACTCAGAGGTGAATCAGATGACAGCAACAAACTTGGCCCTTTGCATTGCACCCAACATGCTCTGGCGGTCTTCCCAAATCAGCCCTGAGAAAGAGGGACAGAGTGTGTTGCAGGTAAGCCAGTAAAAATCTGTGTACTTTCTCACTTCTTCACAGTGATAGTAAATAACGTGTCCATGAACTGTTTATATATGGGGTTCAAAAAAATTATCTTTAGTGAAACTTCATACAAATTACAAATTAATTATATTATTATAAATCAAATGACTGATATCTGTAGTGAAAATTCTTTGTCATCACAAATTATATTATCATAAATCAGATTTTTTTGATGATCATATTCTCTGGCATTATTTGAGAATGATCCAAAGAGCAGCTTGGGTTAAACAAATGTCCTTGTTTGATTAGTGACCGAATCAGAATAGTGCAGAATCAGAAATATTTCTTATTAATTTTAGGTCAAAATAAGAGTTATTTTTTAAACAGATTTTTAAAAAAAAGTTTATTTAGAGATAGATCATTTAGAAATAGATCATTTAAAACAGATAATTGAGTCTTATAACTTTCTGGTTTAAATGACATTTTAAATCCCCGATTTTCAGTGTCCCCTCAGAATTTTTAAGCCCACAGTTTATGTAAAGGAAATAGTATTTGGATTCCTATCATCACACAGTGAACAAAGACATGACAAGAATTAGAAACAAGAACTAAGAAGCTATACAAAAGAATCAAACCTGAAACAAAACAAAACTCCTAAATCACTGTGACATTTAGCAGGTAATGAACATACAAGAGAGGCATTCTTTATATAGCTAGTGCCCACTTGGCTAATTAGATTATTAGAAAACTGTTCTCTGAAACAGCTTTAGAAGTATAGCATGTTACACCGGAGGACACCACTGTCACAACTAACCACAGACAATATAATCACTCAGTCACTGAGTTACAAGCAAAATAGCTTTATTGTGCATGTATTCAATCAGGAAGTGCACTCAGGAATAGAAGCAGTTCCAGGTCAGATTTGAACAAAGAAGTGGATTTTGTGCCCAAGGGCAGTAGATCCTAATTTGTATGCCAGCTTGCTAAGCACTGCTGTCATGCCGCTTAAACAGTTCCCTCTCATTGCTCTTGGGAAGACAGTTTAAAACCACTATCACCACAGGTTGTCATGCTGGAGAAAAATCCATGAGCTATTACATTAGCACAATCGCTTGAATTTTAAATAATAAACGAGCACCTTCTGGTAAGGGTGCTAAAGGGTGCAACTACCCGGGCTAATAATTATCTGACTATTATTAGCCTAAAGCAGCAAATGAGTCATGCAAATGATGCATCTGATGGCTGCTGACTTAGTCGTTGAGTTGTTCTCATTAACCTCTGCAGTTTACAGCAGCAAAATCAGATTTCCTGATGTTACCAAAGGGATCTCTCTTATCGACAGGATGTTGACACAAATGCAAGCAGGGAAATCATTGAGAGCTCGAATCGCCAGGGACCAACGTCACTATATTGTTGGCACGAATACTGGTGGTACAATATGTGTTGCAACACAACAAGAGATTTATAAATCTTTGGTTTGTTTCAAATACTGAGCAAAATAAGACATACTTGGAATTGCTTGGAAAAGTAAGTATCAACTTCCTTGAAAACTATAAAAACCGGAATGAATCCACACTGTTTGTCTTACTATGAACTGGGTTTCAAATCCAAGAGTGCTGAAACAGAGATTTTGCATGTCAAAGGAGATTCCTTATTATACAGATTTTCATATTCAGGGTAGGGTTGCCGCGGTGAGGAAAATTTCCCACCGGTTAATCGACGTGTCACAACACCGGTAATCCCGGTGTCACCGTGGGGGGCGGGGCGGGGCGGGGGTTAAATAGCTTTTAAATGCGTGCGCGTTATAGGCTACTTTCACTTTCGAAATAAGCGTCAATTGGCAATTCAGCGTCAATTGCTTGAATGGACAAAAAAACAACAACTCGGCTCGCTGATAATAAAACTTTTATTTAGACAGAACTTTTATTAGCATAACGAACGAATAAAAATAACCCCATGCATAGGCTGAAAATCGTCAAACTGTGGGCCCAAACAAATAAGAACCACACAACGTTTATTAACGAATAAGAAAATAAAACATTGTTTATATTTTAAACAATATAAAACATAAATTACACATTCCGCAATTATCTTGCTTTTCTTTAATTTGACTCGTTCTCATCTCCACACGTGCTAAATGGAATCCTGATGCTTGCTGATCTGTGACGTGACTGGCTCTTGGCACGCACTGCGCAGTTCAGTTTTTAATTATAAGAGTTTCCGCTAGAAAAAAATGGTGCCGGTCAAAGTGACCGGCAGAGGTTTCGTTTAACGGACATTTTGATGATATGCCGGTCAAATATCGCCTCTTAATTAGTCAAGTTGAGGAAAACTGGAGGCAGGCTAACTTAAAAAATGACATAATCAGGCCGTATAGAATGCAACATTATTATTAGTCTGACTTTCAAATAGACGAAAACAACATGAACGTCCGATTGGCGTCAATTAACACCAATTGTTTTTTACTATGGTTTCACACACATTCACTTTTTGAAACATTGAGGCACGGATGTAGGCCTACCTAATACAAATAAATAGCCTAACTAGCTAACTAGTTAACATCTCCAGTTAACTAGCAGATCATTCATTTAGTACGCTATTAAATAAGAGATCTAGCGCTAAAATCAGTTGTTTTTTAAATCAAGCTGAGCGCTCGTGTCCGCTGCTATCAGTTGCATGGACGACGCGCTGCGCGAGTTGCGCAATCTTCACTCGGACGCGCGTTTCAATCTATCGCCGTTGCGGAGACTCTACACAGGCGAAGCACTGCTACTTGGGCGCAGAGATATCACGCAACACCTGAAATAAAGCTTGCCACAAAGAACCGGCGAAAGTAATGATTATGCATGAAACATTTAAATTGTTGATAAATTGATAAAGTTGACGATGCAGACTCGCCATCTTCGCAGTAGTGAACGCGCATAGAGAGAGAAATGCTCACTTCACATGAATAAATTCTTATTTTTTAATCCAGGCAAATTTGTTGATGAAACATTGATTAAAATGAAGATACAATTTATACAAAACGAAATAAACTTTAAAGAAAGGCTTTCTACAAAACAAAACTAAATAAGTGCTACAATATAGCCTATGGCAATTACTGTCATGGGATTAATATTATATCTATTATTATGTAGTAGTGTAATGTAGACAGACGCTGTAATTAAAAGAGGTTTGAATTTTTCTTTGTTCAATTTGCACACTGAATATGGGTTGGAGGGGAGCTTTTAGTTTTGAACTCTCAAAGTGCACCAGATTGATGAATTTAACATTAAAATGCACAAAATTTTCTTACGGGGAAATACCCCCGAAACCCCCTTAACCTTGTAGCAGCCCAATAGATTGTAATAATAGTAGGCCTAGTGCTGGTAGTTGTAATTTATCTACTAAAAGTTATTTATGGTCAGATAAAATATAGGCCTAGTTGTACAATGCAACAATGATATAAATAGCCTTGAACGTTCTTTGTAGCATTTGTATGAACAATTTATTGTCTAAGTTTTTGAGTAACTATAAGAGCATGTTTAGTTTAATAAATACTAAATAACACTTGGTGGTGTCTGTGTGATTTACTCAGAGATTGAGAATAGAGTGGGAGATTTTGGGAGGAAACAGAGCTCAATTTTCTCATGGCTGAGCCTGAGATGATTGACATTATAGCCACATGATAAGGAGAGTAAGAGAAAGAAGGAATAATATATTATGAGTCATGAAAATTATTTTCTTCCATTAATTTGAGAACCATGCTGGGCATTTGAAGGGCATGAAATTCCATTTTGTTGAGAAAAGCATAATACAATGTGTTGCCTGGCTACCTGAAGATGCCAATTATTAGAAACTGGTCTCCATAGCAACATATTTACTGGGATATGACAGGCACAAAATACGAGACCAATGAATGATCTGACTCCAAAAAGTTTCACGTATGAGGCAGAGTTTATAAATACACATGCTTTGAATCCATACCTTCTGCATAATTCATACCACATTACCCATCAGGGGGTTGGAGTAGATTATATGCCATTTTTTAATTCTGGCCATTCATGCTGGAGCATTATTTAAGCCTGTTTTTAAGATTTACGAATTTATATTGTATAGTAAAATTCCATCAAATTTAATTGAATATTCCTTATATATTTTTCATATTATGAATTAAGAATTTAAAATTTTAAATGAGTAAAAGAAACTAGGGCTTAATAAAACATTTTGTATAAATCTTAATGAAACAAGGTAATGGACCATTTTATTACTAATTTAAAATTCTAAATTCTTAATTCATAATATGAAAAATATATAAGGAATATTCAATTAAATTTGATGGAATTTTACTAAAATTCTTAATTCACGTGAATAATATGTAAGGAATGTTCAGTTCAATTTGATATAATTTTTCTATACAATCTTAAAAACAGGCTTAAATATTTTCTTTAGTGTACACAAATTTCATTAACATTATTCAGTAGATTTTAGACCTATCTGATCCAGTGGAGATGAGATCACATCTGTGATCTAATTCGCTGTAAGACTCTCTGTACGCCTCTGTGTTTCACTCTGAGAAGTGATTCATTTCACTTAATGAGTTTTGAATACTTGGGCACAGGGATGAATTACGGTGTACAGAATAACCACAGCTGTAAGGCAAGGCAAGGCAAGACAAGTTTATTTATATAGCACATTTCATACACAATGGCAATTCAAAGTGCTTTACATAGAATAAATTAAAATAATCAAAACAAATAAAAATAATTAAAACAGTTTAGAATAAAAAATCAAATAAAGTAGTACTGTAATCTTAAATTCATACTGAACCTATTTCAATGATGGCTGGAACGGTTAGTAATACAGAGAAAATGTATATGAAGTCGGCATGAAACGGAAACTGCAATCTCCTTTTCTCCCCCATTTTGACATAATCCGAGTGAAACTGATTCTTGAAAAATGTAGGGCGGATTCAATTTTGTCCTCGGTTTTGTGTTTTGCTAAGGGAAGGATTATTTTCCGGCTCTCACGCTGGTGCACGCGGCATCAGAGAAGAGATGTTTAAGTTAAAAGGATAGTTCACCCAAAAATGAAAATTCTCTCATCATTTACTCAGCCTCAAGTTGTTCCAAACCTGTACGAATTTCTTTCTTCTGCTGAACACAAAATAAGAATATCAGTAACCAAACAGTTGATGGGCCCCATTGACTTCCATAGTTTTTCATCATACTATGAAAGTCAACCCATATTCTTCAAAATATCTTCTTTTGTGTTTAGCAGAAGAAAGAAATTCATACAGGATTGGAACAACTTGAGGGTGAGTAATTGATGACATAATTTTTATTTTTGGGTGAACTATCCCTTTAATGTTTTTGATTAAAGATTATGAGGGCACATCAGGCACACAATAATTTTAGAATAAACACTGCAATGTTCCTTAAAAATAATTTGTTAGTTTTTCTTTCATGGTGATGAATCATGGAGGGATCTAAAATGAGCAGTTGGATGTCTGTCACACAGTGCAGATTATTTTGTTTCTTAACATCCAAAGGCAACAGCTCATTTATTCAATGCATTCTCACCTTGCTTCCCATCCTAATTATGGATACCAATTAATGCACAGACAAAAATGCTGAATGAGAGCAGGCTATTTGAGACAATACCTACTTGTTAATGTGGATAGAACAGTTTGCCATGTCCAGGACTATGTTCAATGATGCTTTTGCATTTCTTAACTCAAGCAATTGCTTTAGGAAGAGAACAGCATGCATGAGTCAATCAGTAGATATGTATCCATTTTCTGCCAGCTACTGAACCCTCTGGTGCTATTAAATACTGTTTTTTGCAATGGAAATCTTGCAATGCTACAGCATTCCATTCCCTCTGCATGCATTTTAATTTTCCATTTCTTTGGCCTGGTTTGTATTTGAAAGGAGTAGGAGTAAAAGATTCATTGGCTTTTTTCTATGAGAGAAGTGAGGATCTCTATGCAGATGCCAAACACGCACAAACACACTGGCGTCACGTACGGTCTGTGCTATGAAAACTCTAAACTAATGTCTAAACACTTTAGAACTTGGACAGAAACAAGGTGGTAGTCATAGCATACCAAATGTGTCCACCCCAGACGCACTTACATGCTCCGATGAATGTACAACACAAACTTCTGGAGCTGGTTTGTACAGTGCTTCAGTTTCTGATATATGTGCTGCCATGGTCGACGTTTATATTTGCAGGCCAGCTGTATCTGTTTTCCATATTGATGATGTTTTGTGTTTTTTTATCTGTCATTCAGGTCGCCATGCTAATACAGTACCTGATAGAAAACTCGCCTGCCATATTTGGAGATGATCTGGACAGTCTGTTCACCAGGCAGATGAATTCAGAGCAGGAAACACATGACTACACAGGTAATTGTGTAGTAATGCCCTTTGGACCTCATTAATATGAGAAGCCTATTGAGGTACTTAAAAGACAACAATTTGCCTTTTTGACAGTGCAGTTTTACAGTACTCCCACACACATTTAAACTGCCTGCAGTTATTTAGAGTTTGACTTAGTAGTAGTAAATGAATTGGAGCTAAAGAAAAAAAATTCTAAATCTCTTTATATAACTCTTAAGACTAAGTAGAATGTGGATTGGATGCGGTTGGATGTGGATGCCTCGTAGACCTTATTTAGCTCTAGCTTAATTAGACGAGGAAGCCACTTAAGTTTTGTAAAACATTGACCTGTAAGGTACAACGTGGAGCCATGTATTTTTTTTTTTTTTTTATGCATTTAGCCGGGCTATGTCCAGCGATTTACGTAGAATTTCGATTGTACTTGCCACGTTGGGCCATACATAGAGAGGCCTCGTTAGACCATACAGAACAGTCGCATTGGGCCATACATAGACAGGCCTCGTTAGACCACACAGAACGGTGGCACATTGGGCCATACATAGACAAGCCTCGTTAGACCATACAGAACAGTGCCACATTGGGCCCAGGGCCGGCTCTAACCCTTTGGTTGCCCTGGGCGATATTGAGTTTTGTGCGCCCCCCCCATCTTATCTGACCATAACTTGTAGTAGATAAATTACAATTACTACCACCACTAGGCCTACTATTAATTACTAATCTATTAGGCTGCTACAAGGTTAAGGGGGGTTCGGGGGTATTTTCCCGGTAAGAAAATTTTGTGCATTTTAATGTTAAATTCATCAATCTGGTGCACTTTGAGAGTTCAAAACTAAAAGCTCCAACCCATATTCAGTGTGCAAATTGAACAAAGAAAAATTCAAACCTCTTTTAATAACAGTGTCTGTCTACATTACACTACAACATAATAATAGATATAATATTAATCCCATGACAGTAATAGCCATAGCCTAAGGAAACTTTCATAAGTAGGCCTAGGCTATATTGTACAATTTTCTATACTTGAAAGTAAGTTATATATTTGGAAGTAATTAGCGCCGCCAATTAAGCAAAACAAAACAAAACAAAACGAATGGGCCACCGATGTACGAGTTTTATGGGCCGTTAAGAGAAAAAGAGAAAAATAAAAGTATGAGATGTATCGGCCCAAAAAGCACGTCGGCCCCGCGGGAATCTGCCGGTAGTCCCGATGGCCAGAACATTTGACACCTTAATGGCTGAGATGAGAAGACTTACCTCTATACTGGGTTTTCTTTTTATCTTGTTGCTTTCTCGGTTTTCGTCCCTGTGCACCAAAGGGTTTAGACCGCTTCATTTTCGATCAGCGCGCGCAGCAGCTGAGCACTTGCCTAACGACGTAACCATAGAACGTAACGTAACGCAACTAACCCCCCCCCCCCCCCCCCCCCCCCCCCCCCCCCCCCTTAGGAAATGATCGACAATAATCATCCATTCAATCTAATAATCAGGTTGACAAGTAATTAAACGTATGGCTGAGGGGCGCCTTAGGATGATCATGTTTAATAAACATGTTTTTGTTTCGCTTGTCATTCTAATTCTGTGTATGGGAAGTAGGCCAAGGGCGACACTAGAGGGCGCCCGCGCCCCCAACACATTTGTCGCCCTAGGCAACTGCCTAGTTCGCCTATAGCAATCACCGGCCCTGATTGGGCCATACATAGACAGGCCTCGTTAGACCACACAGAACGGTGCCACATTGGGCCATACATAGACAGGCCTCAATAGACCACACAGAACGGTCCCACATTGGGCCATACATAGACAGGCCTCGTTAGACCATATAGAACAAGACCACATGGAGCCATACATAGACAGACCTCATTAGACCACGCAGAACAGTGCCGGATTGGGCTATACATAGACAGGCCTCGTTAGACCTCACGGAGCAGGCCATCTGGGGCCATACATTTAGACGAGCTACATTGGACCACACAGAGCAGGCCTCATTGGACCGCAACGCTGGCCGAATTGGACCACACGGCCACGATTGACCACAGAGACAAGACCCCGATGAGCCACACGACCATGATAGACCACATAGACAAGGCCTTGATGAGCCACAACGGCCGCTAGACGAAACACGTAAAACGAAGGACAGCCAGCTTCTTCTTTTTTTTTTTGCAATGAATGCTACAAGGTCTTGGTAGACCACACATAACCTAAGCCCCGAAGGGCCACTGGCCAACCATAGGCATCTTTTTTAAGGACAAGGCACCGATATGCCAATAGGCCTAAAGACCCACACGAAGACGAGGCCCGCTGGGCCACTGGGCTGCTAAAGCCACACAGAGACAGACTCACATAGACGAGGCCACATAGAATTAATGCCATAACTGGCCACGAGCAAGCCACATTAGGCTACACGGTCATGGTAGACCACACTGAAAATAGAATGAGGCCACGAGGGCCGCGATATCGTGAGCCCACACTGAGACAAGAACACACAGAAACAACGGCCACTAGGCCACACAGAACCGAGGCCGTAAGGGACACAAGACCACGTAGGCCACGCACAGGACAAGACAACGTAATGCCACGATGCCTTGAGACCCACACAGAGAAGAGGCCCGCTGGGCCACAGACTGCTAATGCCACACTGATACAAGGCCACCGAGACACAGCCTAATGAGATGAATATAGCATGACACCACCACCAGTAGTTGCATAGGTATTTACCTGATTTGTTACTGGAGAGCTTGCTGAGCTTTGAGAATGGTTTTTGAATCAGGTCTGATATATGATTCGAATGCGGAGGAAGACCATCTAATGGCTGGTGAAGAGATTCCTCTTTCAGCTGCTGAAGTAGCTGCTCCGATTCTGAAGGAATGGCCGGTATAGAGAGAGGGGGATAGACTGCAGCTTTTAATGACGGAGGTTAAGTGGGTTCTGCAACAGGCCTTCGAAAGGGGTGCTCCGTTAGGTAATATGAATAGTGGTGCGTGGTTTGAAGTTCTAGGGCGGATTTTAAGAAATGTAACCATAGATGTGTAGGGGCAAAAAATTTTATTGATTTTTGAAAGTGTTAGGATGGCGCCAGAACCTTGAGCGTCAGTCTTGGAGTGCTTGAGAAAGAGTGTGAAGAATTTAGGTGCAAAGTGTAGATCGGACAAGGAAATACCGCGGGCAGGATCGAATGTATTATTTTCTGAGGTGAATTCCCCTGGACGCATAAAACCATAGAAGGCAGATAAAAACACTGCTTCTAGTAGAATATTGAGGTACGTGGAAAAGAGGCCTTTGCAGACAGAATTTATTAATCTTCGTAATATCGTCTTTAGCTAGCCAAGCGCCTTGACCGGCTATCTTAATTAAATGGACAGCATTGTCTACCGAGGCGTAGTGTAGGGAGAAGGGTGCTAAAGGTATACATTCGTTAACACTCGCTGTGGTGACGGAATGTGGAGAAGACATGTCAAAAATGTCATAACATAAAAGGCAGGGTAATGGGCAGACGTTTATCAATTGTTTTACTGGAAGATTTAGCTAACCCTTTAAGTAGTAAGCGAATTTCGGAAAAAAGACTTGGAAAATTGGGATTATGATATTTTGCGTAGAATTGGATGCCAGCGAGGAGTCTGCGAATAGAAGAAATTTTAAGATTGCGTTTTTTCAAAATTGAAGACGAGGAAGGAGCAAACGGTCGAAATTAGAATAGGAAAAACAGAAATTTGGAAGGAGAAGCAAAACATTAGGAAAGCTGACCATGCTTTAGACACCTTTAGAAATGTAATGTCTGGCTGACGTAAACAGATCGTTTAATTTAGCGTTATGGCTGCTAAGGGAGGGCAGGTTGTTGGATCCGGGTTGGCTGAGGGGCACAGTCGTCTGAAAGTCTGAAATCGAAATCGAGAGAGCGCATCAGCAATAACATTGCAGTGGCCGGGAATATGTTCGGCTTTGATGGTGAAGTTAAAAACAACAGATTGCCAAATTTACCGTCTCAAGAAATGCATGATTGTAAGGCAAGCTGATCTACCTTTATTAATGATGGCAACTGTGGCTTCGTTGTCACAAAACATCATGATGCGTTTACGTGACCACTCTGGGCCCCAGATGACACTTGCGACGGCTATAGGATATATCTCGTAGAGCGCAGATGATACGGAGTCGGACGCTGTTTTAGGAAAGTCATTAGGCCCTTTTTCTGCGAACCATTTCCCTTGGAAGAACCCTCCGAAGCCGATAGATGGAGCAGCTTCGGTGAATAATTGTAGTTGTAACGGATTCAAAATCATCGTTGTAGAAGAATGAAATACCGTTCCAACCGTTTATCAAACTCTTCCTAAATTTTAAATCGGACAAACAGCCATCATCTATTTGGATCTGATCACTTAGCTTTTCCACGGAATGGGCCAAAGTTAACAACCGTGAGATGAAAGCCCTGTCTTGAGGAATGATGCTCATGGCGATATTTAGGTGGCCGAGTAGCGAAAGCATGTCACGCTTTGATATGGAATGTAGGGAGGAAAAATATTCCAAAAAGGACCTGATTCTTGAAAGCTTTTCAGAGGGAAGAGAAGCTTGCATTAGAACTGAGTTGAGGGAAATGGCTTGAAATTCTAACAAAGTAGAAGGGCCCGAGGTTTTCTCGACGGAGAGGGGAACGCCGACGTCGCTAAAAATCTTTTTGAGTACGTTGAGAATTGAAGTTTGAGATGATGGAAAATCGATCAGCAGAAAATCATCGAGCAAGTGTAGGACGAAAGGAAGTTTCCAGACGTTCAACAAGATCCAACAGAGAGCTTCGGAAAGGCTATTGAAAATATGGGGGCTACTTCTGCACCCGAACGTGAGCCTTAGTGCAAAATAGAATTTTGAATTCGATTTAACGCCGAAAAGTGGCCAGTCAGAAGGGTGGATTGGCATGGTTTTAAAAGCGTCCGTGATATCGTCTTTAGCTAGCCAAGCGCCTTGACCGGCTATCTTAATTAAATGGATAGCATTGTCTACCGAGGCGTAGTCAAGTC